TGCTTTTGTGATTGATGGAGACTTTGGTGTAATTTTAGACCATGTTTGTAGATAAAAGTCTTTCCACAGACCTAAGATAGAAAAGGGGCATTTAAGTCAATGAAACAAAAAGAGAGACTGGTGTTGGCTCGGCACCGGTAGCTCTATGAGTATGGTGCTATTTCTGAAGAATGAAGACATAAAAACTAGTTTACATAAATATTTGTTAATTAACTAAAATTATAAACAAAATGACAAAGTGCAAGTTTATTTTTTTCTTTTCTTTAAGTGCAAGGTTATTTTACTTTATTATTATTATTTTTTTGTGACAGAGTCTCACTTTGTCACCCTTGGTAGAATGCAGTGGTGTCACAGCTCACAGCAACCTCAAACTCTTGGGCTTAAGTGATTCTCTCGCCTCAGCCTCTCAAGTAGCTGGAACTACAGGCGCCAGCCGCGATGCTGGGTTATTTTTTAGAGATAGGGTGTTGCACTCCTGAGTTTAAATAATCCACCCATGTCAGCCTCCCAAATGCTAGGATTAAAGGTGTGAGCTGCCTCGCCCAGCCTAAAGTTCAAGTTTAAACCACAAATTCCAATGATACTAGTAAGCTGACCCGTTTTCTGATTCAGTACTTAACAGACACTGTTGCTATCTTTCTTAAATTCATATTAATGCTGGAGGAGCTGAAATGGCACAAATAAACAAAGCTTGTGCTGTCCTTGAGACTGGTTAAACAGTACATCTTATATTAAAAGAGACAAATGAGCTTAATCAAAAACAATACGCTATTTCCTACCACAGGACTCCTTCTCAAACTGTGGTGAAGAAACATTTTTTTCCCTTCAATCTATTGTGGAAATTTTTTTGTTAAGTACAATAAAAATAGCATGCAAAGAATGGGCTTGGGTGGCTCATGTCTGTAATCCTAGCATTTGCGAGGCCAAGGCAGGAGCATCACTTGAGGCTAGGAGTTTGAGACCAGCCTGGGCAATAGGGAGACCCTGTGTCTGCAAAGATAAAAACAAAAATTAGCTGGGTGGGGCTGGGCAAGGTGGCTCATGCCTGTAATCCTAGCTCTCTGCAGGCTGGGATGGGTGGATTACCTGAGATCACAGGTTCCAGACCAGCCTAAACCAGAGGGAGACCCGCCTCTAAAAAAATAGCTGGGCAGGAGGTGCTTGTGGCTCAGTGGGTAGGGTGCTGGCCCCATATACCGAGGGTGGCGGGTTCAAACGTGGTCCTGGCCAAACTGCAACAAAAACATAGCTGGGCACTGTGGTGGGCGCCTGTAGTCCCAGCTGCTCAGGAGGCTGAGGCAAGAAAATCACCTAAGCCCAGGAATTGGAGGGTTGCTATGAGCTGTGACACCACAGAACTCTACCAAGAGGTAGTAACTATTGAAATTGGGTGAAAAGTATATGACAGTTAATCTCCTTCTCCATATATTTTATTAACATATAATTAGAAAACTGCAAATGGCTCAGCCCCTATAGCTCAGCAGCTGGTGAGTTCAAACCTGGCCCTGGTCTGCCAAACAACAACTACAAAAACAACAACAAAATAGCTGGGGAATT